TGTTACAAAAAAAGATAACTCCTTAAGGCTAAAAATAAGAAAGACAAAACGAAACGAAACGATAAAATAATAATAAACTTAATAATAATAATAATAATAGTAATAACGACAATAATAATGACACCTTGATAATAAAGATAATAATGAGAAGAGCAGTAATGAAGGATATAATAAAGATAATAACATTAATAATGATCTTGACAATAGTAATAGCAATTTTTATAAATGATATGATATTTATAATAATGACAATAATCAAGGCAGTGATAATGATGATAAAAATAATCGCAGTAGTAAAATATAATGGACCTTTATTCACTATAACCGCTAAAAATATTTACAAAAATTATGTTAAAATGCTTAAAAATTGAAAAATGCATTAAAATGTCTGATAAAAATCTAAGAATATTAGTCTTAATAATGATGACAATAATAACTTCACTAATAAACGATATAATGATAATGATAACATTAATAATTACGATGAAAATAGTAATAGCGCTAATAAACGATATCATATCAATCTAATAACAATAATATCAATAATCCAATTAATGATAATGACAAAAGTGATAGCAATAATAAAAGTTACCATAGTAGTTATCGCAATAACAATGCTGACGATAATGATTGCATTAATAAACGACATAATGATAATAATGATAGCATCAATAATGAAGATGACCACAATTACTAGAGCGATATAAAAATAATAACATTAATAATGATTGTTATGATAATGATGATAAAAAGATGATAATGATGATGACATTAATACAAAATTTGTTTTTTTCTGTTAGCTTAAATGTGACCTTGATTGATGAGTGACATACCTTTCTTTTCATCTGTCTCTTTGTTTTCTTTGTTACAATTCGCTGAACTTAACAGCTTGCGTGGTATTTTTTATTGAGATCACTAAATCTTTGTTCAACCATCAAATTTATCATTCCTTACCCTCTGTTATGATACAACAGGCCCAGTGTGCACTGTGTCCATCGCTGGTCCGTACAGAAAAGGAAAGTCTTACATTTTAAGCCAAATCTTTGATCAACCAGAGGTATTCCCACTTGGGCACAAAATGGTGGCGGAGACCATGGGAATCTGGATGTGGATTGTGCCGGAGAAATATAAGGTGCGAGCCGTAAAATTTGCCTTGGTAATGCACTGAATGTTGCTTATGAAATTTTAAAACTACATAGGCGGCAATGTTGAGATCATTCTGCTTTCGAAATCTACAATGTGTGTCTTACCAACGAAGGCCTTGACGCGCATGACACCACTCTACCAAGAGCAGCTGAATTTAATCTGAGGAAAAGCAAATAGATTAACGAAGGTCACAGTAGATATCGCAAAAGTAGCGATAGAAAAATTCCCTGTTCTTTTATTCTCTTTCCAAAAGAAATGATAATCGTAGTGAAGGCACTTTTTGAGTATTCTTTTTAAAGTCTTTTTTTAAGGTTCGGTAAGAATTACAGAGGCTGATATGCCGCCCATAGCAATTTTTTCTTTAGAAATGCTGAAAAACCAGTCTTTGACTGATTGTTAAAACTGAAAAGACCTAAAATCCATTGTCCAGGGAATCGTTCTCCTTCTCCCCAAACCCATCTCCAGTTGTGAAGCCTCGCTCGTGACGTCGAAAACCCAAAAGCAATAACGATAGTGTGCAAGTTATAACATAGCTAATTAATGGTTTTCTCTGGCACATCACGAAGCTTTATTGGACTTTGCACTATCTAGGATACACGGGGCAGGGAGATTACAGTGGTGCTGTTGGATTCAGAGGGGATTGACGCTGCTTCCGGTGCAGGCCGTGACGATAATCAGATATTTACCTTAACCGTTCTTTTGGCCTCCATACTTATTTATAACTCTAGCGGTGTCCCCACAAGGCGTGATCTTGAGGGCCTAGAGTATCCTTGCTATATCAACTATTTACTGCCTCATTACTACAGTTGTTGACAATAACATTTGCTCTGTGCAGTCATTTTTTTTTAACTCGCGTTCAGATGACTTAAGGTTACTGATTGCTATAGAGAAGTATTCAATAAGTGTCGAAAGTTGTCTGGAATTGCATAGGCCTTGGCATACTACGGTTTGTGAATAGCTCAAAACCCAGCGCTAAAGTTTTGATCGATCAGGGTCTAGTTGCATGAAGGGCGGATAACGCTTTACAACGGATACATCCCCATCCAGCAGATGAGTGAAAGAAAAACGCACAACACTCCCCGCTGGATAGAGATGTTTCCGGTGGGTAGCGTAATTCAACCTTTGCACAACCGAAAACCAAAACGCATCACGACTGAGTCACTCGTTTCTTTACCGAGTTCTTATGAGTTTTCATTGGCGTCGCGCTCTTCTTAAAATAGACCATTTTACAGTTGTGTACTTAGTTGCCAAGCCTTTGATTTGAAGTGAGGCTAAGGGTGACATTCTTGTTATAGAGACCAGTATCTAGTTAGCATGATAACAAAGATATGTGCATTTCAAAAGCAGCAACATCTGTATCATGACAGTGTTACCCTTAGCCTCACTCCTGTTCAAAGGCTTGGCCACCAAGCCCACAACTGGAAAAATGGCTATTGCCGTTTGATTACTCTGGGTTTAGTTTTAAGACATTGAAATATCGCACAAACCTGAACCTTTGCGCGACTGAATATTCATCTTCTTCCTTCTCTTTGATTCTTGACTTTATTTGTCGGACGGGTTTTGTTGATGATGTGACAGTGAAAACCTGCAATGTAATTAATTCTCAACGAGGGATAGGACAGGGGCACTGAATCTATCCGAATAGATGTAAACACCATAAAGGTCCAGATTTCCTTAATTGCTCTTTAGCTTTATCTCAAAGCTTTCTGGACGAATTCACGCCCGATCTA